TCTTCCATAAAGTTTGCACAGGGCATGAGCCCCAATTTTGGCTGCATGTTGAAATCACCTGTGGAGCTTTAAGTACTACTGATGCCTGGGACGCCCCTCACCGCATGTTGTGATTTAGGTAGTAGGGGACTGGCATGGTCCTCCAGAGAGCTGCAAGCAGCCTGGGAGATTCTTAGTGTGCAGCCAGTTGCAGAGAGCCGCGGGCCCCGCAGCGGTCCTCAAACTAGAGCAAGCCCCAGAATGCCCTGGAGGGCGGATGCAGACAGAGATGGCTGGGCCTTGCCCCAGAAGTTCTGATTCAGTCTGTATGGCATGGGGCCAAGAATTTGAAAATTTTACGTTTCTAATAAGTTCCCAAGGGATGCTGCTCTGCTGGTCTGGGACGAGCAAGTGAAGAGGCACAGCACAGCCTGACAAAGGTCTGGGTACCGCCTGCAACAGGATGGGGCATGGAGGGGGTGGGGAGATGTCTCCCTAACTCGCACTTCTCAGCCTCCTTCTGCTCGAACTCTAGGCCCCCATTGGAGGATTTGGTTCATCCCCACTGTGGACCTTGTGTTACTCAAGGTTACATGTAACTCTAATTTTTGCTACTATATCCCAAGGTTAAACGCACTGGGTGGGGAGGGAGGTAGCAGAGGACTGATTAGGTAAATTTAGGTTCATCCATCCAAAGGAATACTGCGAAGTCCTGAAAAATTAATGCAGCAGCCCTATATAAAGGGATTGGAAATGACTTCCCAGATACGCTGTTAAGCAATAACCACAGAAAAATAGGTACACTGTACTCCCGTTTAGGAAAAAGGAAAAGAATGCATACATCTATGTGCCTGTGTTTGCACCAAGTATCTCTGGAAAGATGCGGTACAAACTATTAACAGTGGAATCTCTGGGCGGAGACCGGATGGCCGGCAGGAGGGAGACCTACTTCTCACTGTGCACCCTTTTGCTTTTCTTTCCTTCTTCCTTCCTTCCTTTTTTTTTTTTTTTTTTTTTTGGTCAATAGCATAGATTACTGTCTCAAAAGTAAACTACTACATTAAAAAACAAAATAAAACACCCCACGATAAACTCTTTGGTGACACCAATAAAACCCTTTCCTGGGTGCACCTGTTGGGTCGCTCTGGGACTGTCACATCACAGCCCGGCTGGGCAGGCAGGCCTGGGCAGCAGGTTGGCTGTGAGCTCTCTGACCTTTCCTGGGAGCTCCTTCTTCCTGACCCTCTCAGGAGAGCCTATTTTTTTCACTTCTCCTTTGCATTCCCTGGAACCATCTGGTTGAGAGCTCAGCAGATGGAGTGAACAAAAGCAGCAGGTACCCAGGGCTCTGCAGAGGGCGCCAAGGAGGATTCCTGCACATCAGTTAGGTCCTGTGTGATGTCTGCAGCATGCTCGCCATGCAGAATAAAACCGCAAAGGTCATTTTAAGGCAACGCAGGGAGGCTGCATCCACTGCTCTGGGTAGTACCAGGCAAGCAGTGGGGCAGGCAACAGGGACAGGCTATGCAGCAGACACCGCGCCAAATCCTGACTCCACTACCTGCTGGCTCTGTGACTCTGGGAAAGTCACTGGCCCTCTCTGAGCCTGGGTGAGCCAGCAGGCTGCACGCTAGTACCTGTGTGTAATGTGCCTGGCAAGCACAAAGTGCTTAAGAAATATTTATTTTATGTCCTTAGTTCCCGTGCCCCAGCCTCAGGTAGCCAGATCCCGTTAAGTAGGGACAAGCTCAACAATGAAGAGGGCAGCCCCCAGGGAAGAAAAGGGAGCCTCACCTTCCTCGGAAGAGTCGTTCTCTGTGTCCACAGCCTTCGGGTCCTTGCGGATCCCTGAGGAGAGCAGGAGTAGTTAGTGTCTCCAATGCCTTGGACCCCATCCCCGCCTTAGAGGAAAGCACGGGACAGCGTGTGAGTGCTGGCCAGACACAGCAAGCCCTCGAGTCAGTTCTCTAGCAGAGAGAGGCAGGATGGAGCAGTGGTCACAACCATGGACCCTGGAGGCAGAAAGATCAGTCCACGTTCCAGCTCTGCCCCCCAACTAGCTGCGCATGACACGGTAAGTCCTTGAACTTCTCTAAGCCTCAGGCTCCTCATCCAGAAAGTGAGAACAATAATACCCGCCCCACGTCAAATCATCGGGACAATGGATTTGAAGTCCATGGCACACAGCTCCTATGAATGGCACACACCCCAGCCCCAGCACCCAGGAGATCAAGGCCATAGGAATAGTGCCTCTCTGAACTGGTTGCGAGGCTGGGAAAGAAATGTCTAGCCTCGAGGCAGGGGACGGGGGAGATGTGTGGGTCTGCAAGGAGAGGCAGAAGGGAAGCTACAGGCATAGGGCAGGGGAGGCGGGGTGGAGTAGAAGGGCCAGGTTTCATAAGCAGGAGGGGTCCCCTGTAGGTTGCTGGCGCCCTTTAGACGCCAGCGCCTGTGTCCGTCAGACACACACAAGCACGCACACCAGCACGCCGGAGTACCCAAGAGGAGGAGGGCGTACCCTCCAGACAGGCCACATTCACACAGATTCGCAGAGATTTGGGGTCAACTCGCTACACGCTGGAAACAAGGTAAAGTTGGATGGAACTGAATCACAGGCATGGTGAATTAGAAACAGCCTGCTCAGGAGCCCTGCCTGCCCCATCCATCACTGGCCCCAAGATCCTCACTCCCCGCTCCCACCTCATGTCTCCACCGTCCTACAGAGAAGAGCAGGCCAGGCAAGAAACCCTGCCAGCCGCATGGAACGCCTTCAGCACAAACCTGGGCTGGAGCCCTGTCTGTCCCAGAAACCAACGTCTTCTCACCCTCCCCCACCCAGCCAGAGAGCCTGACGCTACAGGTCCCTGAGCTGCTGCCACCAGCCTCGTCCTATACATTGACTGGTGGGGGACAAGAGACAGGAGAGACCAAGACGATAGCCACGATCGTTACAAACCTCCCCGTACAGACTTACCGTCCACCTTCCTGAGAGACATGGTCTGGATCTGCAAAGATGTGGAATAGAGCAGGTTACAGCCAGCAGGGGACTCTGCTGTGAGCGGTGGCTCTGCCTAGTTCTGTGAAGAAGGGACAGCCAGTGTTTCCATGCCAACCACTGGGAACTGGAGGGAGCTCAGAGTACTCTGCCCCAGCCCCTCAATGTCACCAAGGGTGAACAGCAGCAACTGAGATGGCACCATGCTCCACTTTCCCTTGGTGAGGAGACAAGAATGCCCTTCTTCAGAGAGGCACCGTGGTTTGAAGGGCAGCAGCCCCATGCAAGCAGAGGGGGCCAGGCACACAGGCAGTACTGTCGGTGTAAGTGGTGGAAATCAGCCAGGGCAAGGGAGGCTCCCCTCCTGCAATATGGGCATCTGAGCTGAGTGCCCCGTGGGAGGGAGGAGGCATGATGTGGACAGTCACCGACTCTCTGCTCAACCCCTCTTTTCCAGGAAGTGCTTCTTCTTCCTCCTTCCACATAGTTGCAGACAGGACAGCCCCTTGCGGCAACGAGTCCCCCACACCACAGCCAGGTTTGGGCAGAGAATTCTGGGCTGGTAACATGTGAACTCAAGAGCTCTTGACAGCCAACTGGCTCGAGTTTTGGTTGTCCCTGTTTATTGGTTTGCTTGTTTGTTTTGCCATGTAGGGCAGACATGGAGTGGCAGCTGACCTTCAGAGTCAAAGAAAAAATCGAAGCGGATACAGAGAGAGGAACAGAGACACACAGCAGAGGAAAACTCCTGACTACACTCATGTCTCTGGTCCCAGTTCATTCCTAGACTTGGCTGCACCCCTGCCTCAAGCTCTCTGAGACACCCTGTCTACCCTTATGACAAATCCCCTCTTCTGCTTAGGCTTGAGTTGTTTTTCATTACCTACTGATGAATGACTCATCCAATGTCCATTTCTAACTATTCCTCCTTTGCTTACCTCTACCCTAGAAAGTATAAAACTAATTATTCCCTTTCTAACCTTCCTTGCAACTATAATTGCCCATATAACACAGCTTTGAACAGTAAAATATAAGTAGAAGTCTTGGGAAAGAGCCTTTTCATCAACTGCTTCCATTGGATATGACTGTGATGGTTGGGGCTATGGCAGCCATCTTGCAACTATGGGAGTCAAGCATGAGAACAAAAGTCAATATGCTGAAGATGGTAATTAAAACAAAGAAAAAAGAAACAGAGTCTGCGTTTCCAATGGCATAATCTTGCAGCTAAACCAAGGCCATCAACTGTCACCTCTTTTGGTGTTACAATAAAAATAAACCCCTGTTAACCTATTCTGCCATGTTTAGCCAGTGGGTTCCTAACTGAAACGTGAAAATGAGAGCTCTGGGTAACATAAGGAGGAAACCTCCAGACTGGACCTGAGGCAGCCACAGCTGTGAAAAGTTAAGTGTGTTGGGGGAGAAACAGTAAAAAGAAAAGCAGCAGGGCCATGGGTTAATAAGATCTGTTGACAGTGAAGTATAGCTGGGAGAACAGAAAGGCACAAATAGCAAGAGGTACAAGAACAGTGGATCAGACAGTGACAGTGGGTGCTCAGCCCAGGGAAGCTGTGTGGAGGGTGGTATCAGACCCATGGCAAAGGACCTGAGGCCACAGGAGGGCCCAGCTGGGGACAGATACTCATCTCCACAGACCTGGGGCAGGCTGGGCAGACAGTGATCTGCATTAGATGAAGAGTCACAGGGGCCAGTTCTAGGCGAGGGTGCTTAGTGAGTGACGCCTTTTCATCACACTAGTTTATCTGACAACTTCATCAGAGGCAGTCAATTTATGAAAAAGGAATTAGTTAAGAAATGATGTCTGAGAACACAGTGAAAGGGGCACACGCTTTGCATTCCACCTGCCTGGCGAGGGTTGAATCTCACCCCTGTCATTTATGACATGCCCCGTGTGGACTTGAGTGAGGCACTTAACTTCTCCTGCCTGTTTCATCATCTGTCAAATGAAGATGGGGAGAAGGTAATGTCTACCTTGAAGGGCAGCAGGGAGGCTTACACGGAGGAATAAGCAAAGTATCAACCAGGTGCTGGCTCTCACACGGTCTCTGATGGTACCGAGAACCCACTAACACTGGACAGCAGGCACATCTTCAGCAACCTCATCTCTTCCTGCCCCTCAAATCTGAGGACTCTTCTCTCTCCTCAAAGAGTCTAACGAGGCTAGTGCCGATAAGTCCAGAAGAATCTAAGGAAATCCTCGCAGGGAAGAGGCCTAGAGCTCCAGGTCCTGGCTGGGAGGAGGGACACACCTACCATCTCCTCCTGGGAGGCGATGAGCCTGGTTTGTTCCTGGAGCTGGGCGCGAAGGGCAGTGATCTGGCGCTGGGCCTGGATAGCTGCTTTCCTCTGATCCTGAGACAGGGAGGCCTGGAGCCTCTCGTTCTGCTCCTGCAGCTGGTGGCACAGGATGGTCGGTCAGTCACATGTCTGCAGGGACCTCTGAGTGCCCAGTGCCTGCAGGGCCTGCACCTGTAGGCAAACACTGGTCGGGGTTTCACCTGAAGCAGGTGGAGTGTCTCCAGACCTGGGCAGGTAGCTTTCTAACAAGACTGACTTCCTTCCCATTTGAGAACATTTCAAGTGGTGCCTGAGAAGTGAGAATTGAATGCAGGCCCCTAAGGTCAGGGCAAAAGTCTCCCTGTCAGGTGTGCCGCCCACTGAAGGACAGTCAAGTTGAGGTCATTCGAAAATCATCCAATGGATGTTTTTAGGTGAAGACAAAAGGTGAAGGAAATGCGGTCTAAGAGCAGAGAGAAAATGACACTATTTATTTTTAAATAAAACCTCTGATGTAAGAGGAGAGAGAAAATGACACTGTTTACTTTTGCATAAAGAACCTCTAGAAGAATACAAGAAAGCAATAAAAGTGGTCACCTGTGGGGTGGGTGTCAGGGACAGGTAGATGGAAACGGAGTGGAAGTAAGACTTTACTCCACGTACCTTAATATAGTTCTTCTGCTTTTGGAACAAACTTGAATGCATTTCCCATTTTTAAATGTTTCAAATAAGATAAACCCATCAGATGGGAATTACTGGAACGGGGGGAATCCATCCTGCGCCAGACTCAGACCTAAGCACCTTCACCTTCTGAGCTTTCTGCAGCAGAACCTGGGGCTCATATTAACCGGCTTCCTCCTCAACTTGCCTCCTTGTCAGGGACATTTTTAGAGAAGCTGTTTTCTCTGCCCTGAGTCCTGCTGCTCTCTGCCCACTGGTCTCAGTGTCTGAACCCTTCCATTTGAGCTGCTCATGAACTATCACTGAGGTCCACAGCCACCGGGGTCTCTCCTGGTTGGAGTTTCAAAGGAGGGCCCAAACACAGAATGACCAGGCAGATCTCTGAGTTTTACAGCACCACCCTCCTTGGAGCACCTTACGGGGTCACTGCAGAGGAAACCACAGAGAAAGTATGTGTTGGTTTCAGAAGAGAAGGCCCGGAGGCCCCTGCTCCCTGCCAGGGAAGCTGCTGTCCGGGCGGCCAACCCCTCTGTGTATTGATGGGGGTCAGCAGCCAGGAAGAGTATCAGCAAAAAATTATTATCTGCCAACCAGTTCAAGGGGGGCGGGGCTGAAGGATGGGGAGCTGAAGGATGAGAGGAGGTTGTGGGAAACCAGGCTCCCCAAAATGGTCCAGTGAGACCTACCTCTCTCTTCTGAGCTGCATGCTCTTCCTGCAAACCCTTCATTTTTCTCTTCCATTCTGTTTTCTGAAAAAGATTAAATGCTTATCAAGTGGGCCCCTCTAGATATTAAAATATACTATAAAGCTACACGAGTAGTAGAAAACCCAGACAAAGATGGGGAAAAATGGAATCTTAGTCTGGGGGAAGATGGATTATTGACAAATGGTGTTCAAACAAGTAGTTAACTGCCTGAAAAAAAATATGAACTTGGATGCTTATTTCATATCTTAAACGAAAATAAATTCTAGGTGGTCAAAGATTTCAACTTAAAACATGTAAGTGATGTCAGCAAGATGATGGACCAGGAGGTTCCAGCTCTCAAAACACCCACAGATGAGACCTTTATGGGAGCCTGGGAATCCAGCTGAGAGGTCTCAGCACCTTGGTGAAGAAAAAAAACCCAAGAATAGACACACTGAAGAGGGGAAGAACAGTTTTCACCTCACCTGTGTCACCCCTCACCCAAGGCGGCACAGCTCAGTGCCAAGAGAGACCCACTCAGCCCACAATCTCTCCCATGGGGAAAGTGCAAGCAAGTGAGCACCCAACTGCCCCAGCCTTGAAGGATGCTGCCCAGGAGCCCCGCTTCTGCCTCACCCCACCCAGAACTGAGGGAATCAGCACAGCTGACTTGGTTTTTGGTACTGGCACACAGATCTCAACACCAGCTTTAGATCCTACTGGCTAGCTTGTGGACAGTGGAAGGTGTGGAGGAGGAAAAGTAAAAGTGTAGACTATTTGTATTCAATCAAAGTTAAGTTGTTTTTGGCTTAAAACAGAGTGCTGTAATTATAAGATGTTTTATATAATCTAATACTAATCACAAAGAAAAAACCTGTAGCAGATATACAAAAGATAAAGAGAAAGGAATCAAAGCATACTGTGACAAAAAATCATCAACTCACAAATGAAGACAGCAAGAGAAAAAGAAAGGGACAAAGTAACTACAAAACAGTCTGAAAACCATTAACAAAATGGCAATAGAAAATCCTTACCTATCAGTAATTACTTTAAATTTAAATGGATTAAATTCTCCAACCAAAAGATCAAAAATGGCTAAATGGATTTTTAAAAAAAGATCCAACTATATGCTGCGTACAAGAGACTCAGGTTAGCTTTAAGGACACACATAGGCTGAAACTGAAGGGATGAGAGAAGACATTTCACGCAAATGGTAAACAAAAGAGAACAGGATACCTATACTTATATCAGACAAAATAACTTTAAGTCAAAAACTGTTACTAGAGACAAAGAAGGTCACCACATATTGATAAAGGGATCAATTCATCAAGAGGATATAACGACTGTAAATATACAGTCAGCCCTCCATATCCATAGGTTCCACATCTGTGTATTCCACATCCATGGATTTAACCAACCATGGATTGAAAATATTTGGAAAAAAGTTCCAGAAAGTTCCAAAAAGCAAAACTTGAATTTGCCTCATGCTGGCAACTATTTACATAGCATTTACATTGTATTACAATATTTACAACTAGTTACATAGAATTTACATTGTATTAGGTATTATAAGTAATTAGAAGTAATCTATAGATGACGTAGAGTATATGGGAGGATGTGCAAAACATAAGGGACTTGAGTATCTGAGAATTTTGGTATCCATAGCAGGTCTGGAACCAATCTCCTATGAATGGATACTGAGGGACGACTATATACTCACCCAACATAGGAGCACCTAAATATATAAAGCAAATATTAACAGAACTGAAGGGAGGAATAGACAGTAATACAATAATAGTAGGGGATTTCAATACTCCACTTTCAACAATGGATATATCATCTAGACAGAAAATCAGTAAGTAAACAATGAACTTGAACAGCACTATAGACCAAGTGTACTGAACAGACATATATAGAACATCCCATCCAAGTAGCAGAGTACACATTCTCCTCAAATGCCCAAAGAACATTCCCCAGGACAGATCACACATTAGCCCACAAAACAAGTCTTGCCAATTTAAGCTTGAAATCATATCAAGTTAATCTTTTCCAACCACAACGCTATGAAACTAGAAATCAATAATAGGAGAGAAACAGGATAATTTAAAATGTGTAGATATTAAACAACACATTCGTGAACAAAGAAGAAATCAAAAGAGAAACAAAAAAATAACTTGTGACAAACAAAACTGGAAACACAACATACCAAAACTTCTGGGATGCTGCAAAAACAGTTCTACGAGGGAAGTTTACAGTCATAAAATTTTACATTAAGAAAAAGGAAAGATCTCAAATAAATAACCTAACTTTATACCCCAAGGACCTAGAAAAAGAAGAATAAACTAAACCCAAAGTTAGCAAAAGGCAGGAAGTAATAAAGAGTAGATCAGACATAAATGAAATAGAGAATAGAAAAACAATAGACAAGATCAACAAAAGTAAGAGTTAGTTTTTGAAAAGATAAACAAAATTGACAAATCCTTGGCTAGATTAAGAAAAAAAGGGAAGTCTCAAACATATAAAATCAGAAATAAAAGAGGAGACACTACAACTGTTACCACAGAAATGCAAAGGATTACAAGAGATGTCTATAAACAGTTACACGCCAATAAATTGGATAACCTAGAAAAAATAGACAAGTTCCTAGAAACATACAACCAACCAAGACTGAATCATAAAAAAAATAGAAAATCTGAACAGACCAATAATGAGTAGGGAGATTGAATCAGTGGTCAAAAATCTCCCAACAAAGAAAATCCCAGAACTGGATGGCTTCACTGGTGGATTCTACCAAATGTTTAAAGAATTAATGCAAATTCTTCCCAAAAATTGAAGAGGAAGAAACTTCCAAACACATTTTATGAGGCCAGTATTACCCTTGTCAAATGCCAGAGAAGGACACTACAAGAAAAAAAATTATAGGCCAATATCCTTAAAGAACATAGACACAAAAATATTCAACAAAATACAAGCACATTAAAAGGATCATACAACATGATCAAGTAGGATTCATCCCCAGGATACAAGAATGGTTCAACATACACAAATCAATACATGTGATACACTACATTAACAAAATAAAGGATAAAATTATATGATCATTTCAATAGATGTAGAAAAAGCATTTGACAAAATTCAATATCCTTTTATGATAAAAAAAACTCTCATCAAAGTGTGTATAGAAGGAATATACCTCAACATAATAAAGGCCATATATATGACAAACCCAGAGGTAACATCATACTCAACAGTGAAAGCTGAACACTTTTCCTCCAAGATCAGAAACAAGACAAGAATGTTCACTCTCACCATTCTTATTCAACATGGTACTGGAAGTCTTAGCCAGAGCACTGAGACAAGAAAAAGAAATAAAAGGCATCCAAATTGGGAAGGAAGAAGTAAAATTATGTTTGCAGATGAGATGACCGATGACCTTACAAATGGAAAATCCTAAAGACTCCACCAAAAAAAAAAAAAAAACTGTTAGGATAAACAAATTTGGTAAAGTTGCAGGATACAAAATCAGCATGCAAAAATCAGTTGTATTTCTCTACACTAAAAACAAACTATCCAAAAAAGAAATTAAGAAAACTATCTCATTTACAATAGCATCAAAATCAATTAAATATAGGAATAAATTTATCCAAGGAGGTGAAAGAGCTATACAGTGAAAACTATAAAAGTCAATGAAATAAACTGTAGAGGACAAATAAACAAAAAGATATCCCATGCTCATGGATTGGAAGAATATTGTTAAAATACCCATACTACCCAAAACAATTTACATATTCAAAGCAATCCATATCAAAATTTTAATGTCATTTTTCACAGAAATAGAAAAAAAATCCTAAAATTCATGTGGAACCACAAAAGACCACAAATAGCCAAACCAATCTTGAGCAAGAAGACAAACTAGGGACATCACTTCCTGATTTCAAATTATATTACAAAGCTACAGTAATTAAAACAGTATGGTACTGGCATAAAAACAGACACACAGACCAATGGAACAGAATACGAAATCCAAAATTAAACCCACATATGTATGGTCAACAAATCTTCAACAAGGGCACCCAGAATACAAAAGAGGAAAAGAATAGTCTCTTCAGTAAATGGTGTTGGGAAAATGGATATCCACATGCAAAAGAATGAAACTGGACCAATATCTTAAACCATACACAAAAGCCAACTCAAAATGGATTAAAGACTTAAATGTAAGACCTGAAACTCTAAAAATCCTAGAAGAAAACAGGAACATTGATCTTGTCAATGATTTTTGGATGTGATACCAAAAGCACAGGCAACAAAAGCAAAAATAAACAAATGGGACTACATCAAACTAAAGTTTCTTTACAGCAAAGGAAACCATCAACTGATGAAAAGATGACCTATGAAATGGGAGAAAATATTTGCAAACCATGTATCTCATAAGGAGTTAATATCCAAAATACAAGGAACTCATATAACTCAACAGCAAAAACCAATCCAATTAAAAATGGACAAAGGACTTGAATAGACATTTCTCCAAAGAAGACCTACAAATAGTCAACAGGTATACGAAAATGTGCTCAACATCATTATTCAGCAGAAAAATGAAAAGCAAACTACAATGAGATTATCATCTCATACCTGTCAGAATGGCTACTATTTTTAAAAGTAACAAAAGATAACAAGTGTTGGCAAGGATGTGGAGAGAAGGAAACATTTTACACTGTTGGTGGGAATGTAAATTGGTACAGTCATTATGGAAAAACAGTACGGAGGCTCCTCAAAAAAATTAAAAACCAAGAGAGTTACTCATTCTCCCAGGGGAATCTCCCTTGTATCCATGAGGTATACATGTTAATAAACTTGTTTGTTTTCCTCTTATTAAAAAAAATTAAAAACAGAACTACCATATAATCCAGCAATCCCACTTCTTGATTTTGATTCAAAAGAATTGAAATCAGGATCACAAAGAAATACTCACACTCCCATGTTCATTGCAGCATTATTCACAATAGCCAAAATATGGCTACACTTACCCCCAAATTCAATGAGTTATATACATTAAATATGCACAGCTTTTTACATGTGAATCGTACCTCAATAAAGTGACTTGTATGAATGAATGAATGGATGAATGAATGAGCAAACAAACTAACAAAAAGAAAACACAGGAATATTTTCTTTTTCTCTTTTTGGCCACACTGCACAGCTTGTGGGATCTTAGTTGCCTGACTAGGGATCGAACCCGGGACCCTGCCAGTGGAAGCATGGGGTCCTAATCACTGTACAGCCAGGGAATTCCCATGATTATTTTCTTTTTAAATCTCAGAGTGGGCATAAACAAAAGACTGATAATCTGATCATTTTGACCACATAAACATTATTAATTTTGTATGGTCAAGACCATGATAAACAAAGTTTAAGGATGACTAGGAAACAGGGGGAAATAGCCACAACAAGAGCAACAAAGGGTTGGTTAATTTCCATACGTTATACAAACTCACAAATTGGTAAGGAAATCAAAGAAAAAATAGGCAAAGGATGTGAAAGAGTTCATAGAAAAAGAACGGCTTTTTTAAATGTGAAACTTGAAACACCAAGCAGTGGGAACGCTTTACCTCTGCTAGTTAAATGTTAAGCTCTTTCTTAACAGTCTTGGAGAGCAGAAGCAGGACAACATGATTGAACGACTGTGCCATCTGCCCTTCCTTGCCATGGAACTATCAGTGATACAGACCATATGTAACTGGACGGATGTAAGGTTCATCCAGTGGAGGCCAGGCCACCCCCTCCCAGCCCATGACAGCAGATTGTGCGTAAGTCTTCCCAGTTCCATATCCAGTGACCTCACGTTAGCAGCATGAAATCAGCCATGGTGGGAATATTTACACCACAGAAAATGGCAAATGCTACAAATCAAAGCTTTTTTAGTTCCAGACAACCGGTTGTTAAGTATTTAACATCACACCATTAGACCCATGCCAAATATCTTCAAGGCCAGAAGACTGTCACACTTTCTAAGAATTGTTTTCAACTGGGTTGGAATCAAAATGAGGGCAAGGGTGTCCAGTAAGATACACGGCTGAATGTATTTTGAAAAAACTCCCAGGCAAATCTGACATTGCACACATGTATGTCACCAGCCTCACCTGAGAACCCTAAGAACCCTACTCTAGGCTTTCATGAATTGGCAGAAGGTCTGAAAATAGAGAACTTTGATGTCTTTCAACTTCCCTTAAACCATAGAGCAAAACCGACAAACTCTGTTGGAAGACAACATGGTTCTCGCCGGGCCCTGGGAAGAAAGGCATGGGGCGTCGGCTCACCTGAATCTCCACCTTCTCCTTCAGGCCCCGGAGCTCCTGAGCCTGGCTGAGTCGTTCCTCGGGTTCCTCATCCTGCAGGGACCCGAGGTTGGACTTCATCACCTTGTGGGACTGCAGTGCCTGCAGTTTCTGAAAAGACCAGGGTGCAGTTTCATTCAGATGAAGATCTAATCATGATGTTGTCTTTTATACCCGGAGCGGTGTCAGAAGGGCACACCTAACCCCAACCACAAAGCCCCAACCTGAACTCACTAGGTATCTGCATGCCTGCAAATATTCACACAAGTTCACACTCCCCTTCACTAGTGTTCTCCTGAGAGCTCAGCCCTTGCGCAGGAGAAGCAAATTCCCATGGAAGAACAGGATTCAAGAGTGTCATTTCCATCGCGCTGAAATTCTGCTGTACTTAACCCGGAACTCGCCTGACAGCTTTCCCATTTCTTCCTCAGTCTCGAATAGGCTAAAGAGAATCAGACTATCGGAGCCTTGAGGAGGGTCTCAGGCACTCCAGACCAGTCCCTGAGGACTCCTGGCCCTCTTCCCACAAAGCTGTCACCAAGAAGGCCTGGCTTTTCACAACCTGGAGTCATGTCACCAATGCCTAGTGCTTCCCAAGCTAATAGTGTATGGTGTGAAGGAAAAGGCATGGAAAAGTGGATCAAAGACAAGGTGCCTTTCCACCCCCCTATGGTTATATTTTTAAACATATCACTACTGCAGTGACAAAAGCAATTATCTCCATCTCTATTACTATATCAAACTCATAAGCCCTATTCAAGCTTTAGAGAACAGTTAAGTCCCTGAGTTTAACTTCTCACTCTTGCTAATCTTTAATTCTTCTCAGTTCCTGCTAAAGCAATATTGGGTCCAAGTGTTAACCATTTCTAAACCACTTGAATATTTCTGTAGAGTCAAATGCTTGATCAGATGTATGCAAAACTTTCGGCCCCTGATGTGTCACTTCTGTCTTCACACTGCTGCTTACGACACACCAGAGAGCTGGCTTTCTTGGCATCACAAACCTTCATGGTGTTTTCCTTTCAACTGGGGTAAAGTGGACTTACCGTGTTTTTCACAGTCACTCTAAATGGAATCTTATCTGTTTCCCCAACCCCCAGAATTTTTAAAAGATAAATCAACAAGATAATTAGCCAACTACACTGATAATCTTGTATCCAGTTTGGTTCCTGTACTTTAATAAAAGTGAAATAATAAAATGTCAGGTGAGAGGAGATGGGCGGGGGAGACACACAAACACAAAAATACAACAGAAGCCATCCTATAGGGGAAAGGCAAAAAAAAAAAAAAAAAAAAATGGATGTTCCAGTTTAGGACAGTGTGACCCAAGTTAAAAGGAAACCATGGATGGTAGTAAGAATTATGTCCTCATTTACCACAACCCAGAATTTCCTAACCAAAAGTAACCTTTTGATTTTTGAGGACACGGTTTATGAACAACAACTCCAAATTCAAATCAATACCTAGGTATCTAACGTGTCTAGTCAGCGAGTACCATGTCAGGGGAAGCATGGGAGTGAGGGAGTTTCAGATGAGCTCAGAGATGATGGGTGTGGAGCTGGGGGTTAGGAGTGTGACGTCCACATGGTGGGGCAGCATCTCGTCCTCCACAGATTATCCCTGTCCACACTGGGGGAACATATAGGAATGGGAGGACTTGGGTCACTATCGATACACACACACACACACACACACACACACGCAGAGCTCTCACTGCACTCCCACCGCCCTCCATCCTTGGCTTTCTGTCTCAGATTGAGACCACCAAGGCTCCACGCATATCCTACGACAATCCCCTTCTAGAAAAGTTGTCTAGGTGTTTCTTTAGGCAAAGCATGCAATGATCATGAGAAACGCTATTACACAATTCATTTTCAAATCAAGAAAAGATTCTCCTTGATGTTCAGTGGACCAATAAGAGCTAAATACATCCTGAAAATACTTCTCAAACATTGTCCCTGATACGGTTTTACTTATACAGGTTTATATGGGAAGATACAGTCCACAGATAACTTTAATAAGGTTTTCTTGAATAAACTTAATAATATATCCAGTAGAAGAGCAGGGGCTTTGAAGTTTAAGGAGCTGGGTTCAAATCCCAGCGCTACCTCTTAACAGCTGTGTGACCTTAGGCAAGTTATGTAACCTCAGTGTCTTGGCCTGTAAAGGAGGAATGATAATAGCTTTTTTTTTTTAAAAAAAAAGACCTTTATTTATCTATTTATTTATTTATTTTTTACTTTTTGGCCATACTGTGCAGCACGTGGGATCTTCGTTCCCTGACCAGGGATCGCTGCGGTGAAAGCGCAGAGCCCTAACCACTGGACTGCCAGGGAATTCCCTAAAAAAAGAACTTTCAAAAAGAAATTAATAAACTAATGACACACCTACTTTTAGAATGTTATAGTTGTTTGGTTGTTATGAGGATTAAAAGTTAGTGTATATAAAGTACTCTGCACAGGGGCTAGAAAAGTTTCAGTAAATGTTAGCTATTATGTGTGACCCCCACAGACCCCAACAGAGAGCCTGGCCTGTAGCCAGGGCTCAGCAAGTACTTGTTAGAAGAAAAATGCATTCATTTACATTTTGCCTCATTTCTTGTCCAGTGATGAAAGCCCTTTGAGAAAATAAGGATAATATCTCAGGAGCTCTTACTATATGCCAGATAATGTTAAGTGCTGTCTATGTGTTAATTTAACCCTTTCAGAAACCTATCCTACAGAAAATAAACTGAGGCACAGGAAGGTTAGGTAACTAGCCTAAGATCACACAGCCAGTATGTGATGGAGCAGGGTTTCAATCCTGGGCACTGGCCTCTAGTATCTGGCCTCACAGTGTATTACCCACCCCCAATGGCAGATGACAGAGAACTGGTACAAACAAAGAAATGAATTTTGAGAACAAATAAGCAGGTTTTCAACTAAAGAACTCTGAGAAGCCTTTTAGGTTGGGTACCTCTTCTAGCATAGAGTTCTGGTTGGAAACACTTTTAAATTCATCCCAAAATAATTTCTTGAGCTTGTCTATTTCCCCATATAGCTTGGCCCGCTCTTTTTCTTTCCATTCATCAAATTCTTTCTTAGCTTCTGCTTCCCTCTGGCGAGTGATCTCTGCTTCCTACAAAGAAAACCAAGAACAAGAGAATCATTAATTCCACATTATGACAAATATTTACCGAGAAACTGCTAGGGCTCCTTGTCCGTGCAAGCCACTATGGAGACCCAAAGAACATTCATCCCCCAGTCCACACTGCTGGGACAGGGAGTGGGATTAGTCCTATCTGAACCATAAAGGCCCTTGAGGATGGGGATCATGTCTTTTCTCTCTTTATATTCCTCACAATGCCCAGCATAGTTGGTGCTCAGTAAATGCATGCTGAGGGAAGGAGTGATGAATGAATAAATGCCGGAAGGAGTGAGGCAAGTTTATGTATTTTCGTTCTACAAATACTTACTGAATACCTCCTCTGGGCTGCCTTTGGGAGCTTATCCAGTCTTTGTCCTCAAAAAGCTAACATTATATTGCAAGAAGTTAAAATTCAGGTTCAGATGCTCTCAGAAGGTGCTAATGCAAGAAGCTGCAGCTCTCTTTTGGCCATAAAGGTCTGACCAAGTAATTGAATTTTCCTTGCCAAACTACCTAAAATCATTTAGCACATCCAGGAAGACGCCATCCTAGCTCTGTCTCCTGCTCTATGAAACAGCCAGAATTTTGGCCCTGTGGGATGCGAGTGCATCATGGGTCTCTCAGCTAGTCCGTGACCAAGCCTCCTGCCGTTTCCTCTCCACGCCCACCTGAAGCTGCCGCTGCCTCTCCGCTGCCCTCTGCGCTTCCAGCTCCCCTTGGGTCCACTTCAGCTTGGCCCACAGCTCTTCCAACACCTCCTCCACTGGCTGCTCCTGCTTCTTCTGCTTTCCTGTGGGGTCCACTCGAAGAGAGGGTGACGGCATAAGTCAAAGTCAGTGGAATGTATACCGTCACACCTCAGACTGAGTTCAGCTTTGCCACTTACACTGTACACTGACTGGGCAAATGACAGAACCTCCCTGACCCTCTGTTTCTCCAAACTGGAAAATGGACATAGTAATAGCACCTAACCCACAGAGTTATTGTGAGGATGAAATGTGATAATGCAAAGGGCTTAGCGTAGTGCCTGGCAGGACAGCTCAATCCATGTGAACTACTGTTGTCATTTAAAATAACTATTTTGACAGTACTAACACATGGTAATGTGAATGCAAAATCGGCAGAGTAACAGAAGCAGAATACCAAAGAGTGTGTACACACTGATTATTAATACAAAGAACATATCTATGTATCCTGACAGCAATCAGAGGGGAATTTAAAATAGTGATAATAATTGTAGTTTTAAGTTCACTCTTTTCAGGAATATAAATGTGTAGCTTTAAATTTCCAGTGAAAAAAAGGCAGCATGCGTTACAAAGAAACCTTGAATTACAGAAGAATATTCTAACTAAATCACATAATGATAAACTAAGAGTTAATGAAAAAGACACCAATTGTTCTTAAACATTTGTTACTTTTTTTAAAATTTATTTATTTATTTTTGGCTGTGTGCCAGGGCTTTCTCTAGTTGTGGCAAGCAAGGGCCACTCTTCATCGCGGTGCACGGGCCTCTCACTATCGTGGCCTCTCTCGTTGCAGAGCACAGGCTCCAGACGCGCAGGCTCAGTAGTTGTGGCTCACGGGCCTAGTTGCTCCGCAGCATGGGGGATCCTCCCAGACCAGGGCTCGAACCCGTGTCCCCTGCATTAGCAGGCAGATTCTCAACCACTACGCCACCAGGGAAGCCCAACACTTGTTACTTTTTAAAGTACATTTAGAGGCTATTAGATGGTACTGTTACTGAAACTTTAAGCTTTACTTTGAAAAGAAATATATGGCTTTTCTCAGATGGGACTTTTTAGAAACAAGCAACTTTTAGATGCAGTGTAAATTAATTTGGGTTAATTAAGTGATCTGAGGTGAGTCTGGAATGGGAGAGCTGGGTTATCTGAGAAGCCAGCTGCCTGAAAATAAATTAATGAACATTAATGTAGCAAAAGTTGCCTTAAGAACATATTTTTCCTCTCCTTACAGCACTTTACATTAAGGAAATAACAAGGAATATGCACAACAATTTATGTACAAGAATGTTATCATCATGTGATTTATAACAGGAAAATTTTTTAGTAGCCCATATAAATTGAGAATAATTCAATTGTGAAATATATTATGATCGCCACATGATGAAATACTATTCAGCCATTAAAAATCATGTTTTCAAAGATGATTTACTGACTTTGGAAAATGTGATATATTCTTAATTGAAAATAAGCAGTGTCAAAACTGCATTCTATATGACTATATTTGTATAAAGAAAAATAATGACTGCGAACATACCAACATATTAACTGCAGGTGACACTGTCCACAGTTTTTATTTTCTCTTTTCTACCTTTCTGTATTTAAATCTTCTAGATCAAAGGCGTATTTTTTCCAATTTCTTTATTGTGATGAAATATACATAACACAAAATTTACTGCCTTAGCCATTCTTAAATGTATAGTTCGGTGGTATTACATACATTCATAATGTTGTGCAACCATCACCACCATCCATCTGCAGAATGCTTTTCATCTTGTAAAACAGAGACTCTATTCTCACTAAACACTAACTCCCCATTCCCCCTTCCCCTAGCCCCTGGCAACCACCATTCTACTTTCTGTTTCTATGAATTTGACTATTCTAGGTACCTCATTTAAGTAAAATCATATAGTATTTGTCCTTCTGTGACTGGCTTAGCTCACTTAGCATAATACCCTATTGTAGCATATTGCAGAATTACCTTTCTTTTTAAGGCTGAATGGTATTTCTTTGTATCTACATACCACACATTGCTTGTCCGTTCATCTGTCAATGGACATTTGGGTTCTTCTACATCTTAGCTACTATGAATATGTGTATAAATATCTCTCCAAAGATATATATGTTTATCAGAAAAAAATATTTAATAAGTGGAAAATCTGTTTTTCTTTAGCAGCCTCTAATGCAGAACCAAGAAGAATTAGATATATAATAAATGCATAGTAACTAGGTGAATTGTGCTGTTTTAAAACTCTGTTCCTTGAAAAAGAAATTAAAATAAAGGGAAAAATATTTTATTCAATGGGATTTTTATATTTAATTTATATTACATTTTATCACATTATATTTTCATATCTATATTTATTTTACGTTTTAACAGCTATTTCTTATTGAAACTCAAAAAACAGATATAAAGCATGCAAACCTCTTAATGGGAAAAACATGCAGCCTTGCTACTCGTTTTAGAATTTGAAACGGTAAAATTACAGTGATTAAGTCATAATAAGCTCATGACATTAAAAAAGCAAAGAATTGGTCTGACTGCTCATTAAGCCCAGTTAAGCTTATTCATAGTCAGCACCAGAGAACAGCAAACTCCAGAAGACTGGGAGGTGAGGGCCCTTCAAAGTCACTCTGTCTGACTGCCCCATTCACAGTGAAGGACACAGAGGAGGAAACACTGACCACGGTCACATAACAGAAGGGGACAAAGCTAAGACTGGAACCTACCTGTCTGACTCCCAGCCCTTTTTCTCTAAACACGTGGTCAGAAACCCTCCCCGCCCCACCCTCAACTGGATGATGAGGTTCTGAGGGCAGCTTTGGTGGTGTACAGGCCCCTCACCCACTGAACACAAGCCCAGGCCCTTGCACGGTCCCAGGAGGGCCACCTGGACTCACCACCTTCCACCACGCCCGTATGTCTGCGCTGGATGTGGCCCCGGAGAAAGGTGGCGTTCATGAAGGTCTTGTCACACAGGTGGCACTACGCAGAGGCAAGTAGTGGGAAGTGCAGGATTAGCTCACCTGAGTCAGCCAGGGATTCTCCCTCTATCAAAACTCTCATTCCTTGGGCCCCCTGGGCTGCTTCACAAATAAAGAGTTTGATTTACTGAGTAAGACAGTGACTGAACCCAAAATATATATACTATATATTTTATCCCCCCACAATATATATATACATTTTTTTTCTTTTTCTGAATTTTAAAACACTGCCAGTGCCGTGGGGAGGTAGGAACAATGATTAGTATCATCCTTTGCTGATACTAAGGAATTTTTGTTGGTTTTTCAGGGCATGATGATCGTATTACGTTTATGTTTAAAAGTGGGATGGGAGTCCTTGTCTTTTAGAGCTACATAGTGAAATATTTACAGATAAACTCATATGACTGATACACTTCAAAATAATACAGGGGTGGGGGAAATTGGATAGAGGAACAAATGCGACAACATTGGCCATGAGTTGATAACTATTGGGCTGGAGAGTGTGCAGATGAAGGTTCATTATATTATTCTCTCTACTTTCGTATATGTTTGAAATTTTCCACAATAAAAAGGTTTTTTCAAAAACCACCAATGTCCAAGTCTCACTCAGAGTTGAGAACCACTGGAGCAAAGGGTAGTAAGTATAGCATCTGAAATTCCACTTCACTCTCCTCAAGCATTTCAGACAATGCCAATCTGGCATATCATTTCTTCACTGTAAAACTTCAAAATTCTTCCAACACGGCTTCGCAGGCTGCCATTGCTAGTCAATCAGAGTAAGAGGGCAGATTATTTGCTGTCTTTACACAAAGGCAAATGTGACAGAAATTGCCAATCATCCTCCAGTACCAGTTTTCCCTTTTACCTTAGCAATAGAAACCTTGATTTTTAGCTGACCGTGAGGCTAATGAGAATATATGTCACCTCCTCCCTTACAACCAGGTGTGGCCACGTGACTAAATTCTGGCCAATGGCATGTAAACAGAAGTGGTATATGCAACCACTTTTGGGAGGTGTCATTAAAGAAAGAGCCATGATATTCCTCACCCTCCCTCCTCCTGCTG